GCACATTCTCCCCGTGTCTGCATGGGTTTCCTCCGGTTTCCTCCCACAGTCCAAAGATGTGCAGGCTAGGTGAATTGGCCATGCTAAATTGCTCATAGTGTTCAGGGATGTGCAGATTAGGTGGGTTATAGGGGGATGGGCCTGGGTGGGATGCTCTCAGGGTCGGTGTGGACTTGTTGGGCCAAAGGGCCTGTTTCCACATTGTAGGGATTCTAAGAATAATAGAAACACTTCAGGAGTCTTCAAAAAACACAATAAAGACAAACAAAAGGGAATGTGTGTTAGAACAGCAACAATGGCACAAAGTTCCCCCAGAACCTACGGGAACAGGATTCAAAATAGTCAATGGAATTGTTCCTTGAATATTGCCACAGCGAATCAGGTTATTGGAATTTACAGCAGTTTTATCTGTAAGGGAGAAATGTTCCCTTCCTCCTCAAACACGATGCTGGGATATATGTATCATCAATAGCCACAGTTGAAGTGCCAGAAGACTGGAGGTTGGCTAACGTGGTGCCACTATTTGAGAAAGGTGGTAAGGAAAAGACAGGGACCTATAGACCAGTGCGCCTGACATCAGTGGTGGGCAAGTTGTTGGAGGGAATCCCAAGGGGTAGGATTTACATGTATTTGGAAAGGCAAGGACTGATTAGGGATCGTCAACATGGCTTTGTGTGTGGGAAATCGTGTCTCATGAACTTGATTGAGTTTTTTGAAGAGGTAGCAAAGAGGATTGATGAGGGCAGAGTAGTGCACATGATCTATATGGACTTCACTAAGGCATTTGACAAGTTTCCTCATGGTAGACTGGTTAGCAACGTTAGATCACATGGAATACAGTTATAACTAGCATTTAGATACAGAACTGGCTCAAAGGTAGAAGATAGAGGGCAGTGGTAGAGGGTTGCTTTTCAGACTGGAGGCCTGTGACCAGCGATGTGCCACAAGGGTCGGCGCTGGGTCCACTGTTTTTTGGCATTTATGTAAATGATTTGGATGTGAACATAGGAGGTAAGGTTAGTAAGTTTGCAGATGACACCAAAATTGGAGGGGTAGTGGACAGCAAAGAAGGTTACTTCAGAGTACAATGGGATCTTGATTAGATAGGCCTGCGGGCCGAGGAGTGGCAAATGAAGTTTAATTTACATAAATGTGAGGTGCTGCATTTTGGAAAGTGAAATCAGGGCAGGACTTATACACTTAATGGTAAGGTCCTGGGGAGTGTTGCTGAACAAAGAGACGTTGGAATGCAGGTTCACAATTCCTTGAAATTGGGTCACAAGTAGACAGGAGAGTGAAGGTATTTGGTATGCTTTCTTTTATTGATCAGTGCATTGAGTATAGTAGTTTGGAGGTCATGTTGCAGTCATTGGTTAAGCCACATTTGGAATACTACATGCAATTCTGGTCTCCCTGCTATTCGAAAGATGTCGTGAAACTTGAAAGGAAAAGATTTACAAGGATAATGCCAGATTTGGAGGGTTTGAGCTATACAGAGGGGCTGAATAGGTTGGGGCTATTTTTCCTGGAGTATTGGAGGCTGAGGGGTGACCTTATAGAGGTTTATAAAATCATGAGGGGCATGGATAGGGTAAATAGAGGAGTCCAAAACTAGAGGGCATAGGTTTAAGGTGAGAGGGGAAAGGCTGAAAAGGGACCTAAGAGGGAACTTTTTCACGCAGAGGGTGGTGTGTGTATGGAATGAACTGCCAGAGGAAGTGGTGGAGGTTGGTACAATTACAACAATTAAAAGGCATCTGGATGGGTATATAAATAGGAAAAGTTTAGAAGGATATGGGGCAAATGCTACTAGATTAATTTAGGATATCGGTCGGCATGGACGAGTGGGACCGCAGCATCTGTTTCCATGTTGTACATCTCTATGACTTTTAAGTAAACAAATTAATATTTTAAGAACTACTGAGGCAAATCAGTCATTGATGGTGGCTAATGATATGATTTGTGTTCCAGGCGGCTTGATGAAAGGGAAAGTATCACTAGGGAATCTCTACGGGTTTAATGAATGTGTTTTTTTTAAATGTATTATACAAAGTGACCTAGTAGTTGAAATTGTTAGTATAGGAACTGTTCCTAGTTTATCTTCTAAAAGATGGACCTTATACTAGGTAATGATTTGGTAGTAGGCAAGTCTTGGCTATACAGAAATTTCAAGAGATCCAGTTGAGGCATGACAAGTTCTGGACTATACCCTGCTTGCACAGCAGCTGCAGCCCACATTTGTAAGGCTAGACAGGACTAAATAGAAAAACTAACCCGGGGCAAAGAAAAGTGGTCTCAGAAGTGCAAGATTGTCAAATGTAGCACCAGGTAGTGGGCCCTGCTAAAGGAAAACTGTGCTCATCATGTACCAACTTAAAACTCAGGAAAGATGAGTTTGCTACCGAAAAATGTGGCAGCAACATTTACAAGTAAAACACTTGAACCAAGGCTTGAAAATTGCAGTGATAAACGGGTAGAAGCAAACTCAATCAAGGTAGATCCTCAATTAATATTTGATGAATTTCAAGTAAATAAAGTCGCTACAAAGTATTGTGAAAAATGCCTTGAAGCAATCAGTAACCATAGAGGAAAGGACATTGTGGGTCTACAGCACACAGGCTGCAGTGGCTCAATGGCAATTATAGAAATAAATGCTGGCCCACCCAGTGATGTCCACATCTCGAGTAAATTTTAAAAAAGCTGACCATGAGAAATGATCAAACCTGTGAGAAGGCTGTATACATGACTCTGAAACCAAAGCAAACAAACTAACCGGAACAGTTACTCAGCTGAAATGAGATCAGCCAACCTGAAAAGGAAGTAGACTGTAAGGCAGTGAACAAATATTAGGAGGAAACTGAACAATCAGTGGGGAACAAACAAATGTGTGCAAAAGGCTGTGGCACATTGTTTTCTAGTTGATCCAAGCAATTAAGAGTAAAACTCACTCAGTGCAGGTTTATTAATCTTAAACAATGAAGTCATGGAGGAAATGATTGAGGAAGCAAAGTTTGAAGCTGGCTGTCAATCAGAAACACATGATTTCCATAGAAAGGAGCTAGAGTGTGTTGCTATCAACTGAGGAGAAAACGAAAAACAAACTCTCATACTTTTGTAGTTGAATTGAAAAATACATGAAACTATTTGTATTATGAAGTACGATGAAATGTGCATCCACATGTGAAGAGTGGGAGGCCATCTTAATAACGGTTTAAAGTTACACCAAGAGAGCTGAAAACCTAATGTACAAAATAAGCCCAGAGATTAGTCAAGAAGAAGAACTGAAGAGTCATACCAGACTCTAAAAGCTAACTCTGTTTCTATCTCCACAGACCTGCAGAGTTTCTCCAGCATTTCCCGTGTTTGTGCAGGAAGGGGTCTGATCACCTTCACTGAGCGCGCTCGGGATCTGATTCACTGTGGATGTGCCCCATCACTGTACGTAGTCACTGTGTATAACGATGACCCTCGTACTGTTGCTGTGCGCAACGGGGGTCCGCGCGCGCAGTCGCTGTGCTAGGAGAATCTGCAGGAGTATTTTTTCGCTCTGAGAGTGGTGGAGGTCTGCACTTCACTGCCTGAAAAGACGGTTAATGCTGAAATCCAGAAAACACTTAAAAAATACTTGGATAACACATCAAGTGCCACAACCTACAAGACAATAGACCTATAAAATGGGATTAAACCGAATAACTACTCCCTGTGCAGTGCAGACACGATCGCCCAAACGGCCTCCTTCTGTGCTGTAAATTTCTACAATCTTTTTATACTCACTTTTAAGATTCTGGACTAGCTGTGAATGCGAGTTTCCAGAAGAGGTCCACGCCATGGTCCTCACAAGCAATACGCCTACTGGAAAAATAACCGAGAGCCTCAGCATGGTCAGCATACTCCTTAAACTGAACCAAAGCACAGTGATTAGCTCCAATATCAACCAGCACTCAGCGCAGAAATACACACAAAACACCCAAATATTACATCCTTTCCCTGCCTTTCTCACTCCATCAAGTTAACCTGTTCAGTGAGTGGGCAAGAAGATGGAATATAATATGGGGAAATGTGAATATTATCCACTTTGGTTGAAAGGATGGAAAAGCAGAATATTTAATGAAGGTAACCGACTGGTAAATGTTGATATTCAGTGGCATCGAGGGTCCTTAAAGACAGCAAGTTAATACGCAGTGCAAAAAACAATTCCTAAGACAAACAGAATGTTAAAATTTATTAAGGAGAAGTTGGAAACTAAGATTAAGATAGTTTAACTGCAATACTCCAGAGCTTTGGGGACAGCATATGAGGCATACTTTGATCTCCTTACCTGGGGAAGGACATACTTTATGTACATCCACTAGACAGAGTTCTCAGATGAGGGGGTTTTCTCACAATATTAATAAGGAGAAGCTGAGTTAATTGGGCCAATGTTTTGTAGAAGAATATGATCCCATTGAAACATACAAGATGGCTGGAGATTGACAGATATTACAAGGTTTTGCTCCCCCTGGTTAAGGTATCTAACACAAAAGGGATACACTGTCTCAGCATAAGGGAGGAGAAATTTCTTCACTCACAGGATTGTGTCTTTTGAGTTCCCTACTCCAGAGGATTACAGATGCTGCACTAGTGATCATATTTAAGATTGAGAAGAGCAGATGTTGGGCACTGAGGGATATGGGGAATGGGCGGGACAGTGGATTTAAAGTCAACTCCTGTTCCTTAACTCAGCCTGTGTGCCTCCTTCCTTCCTTCCTCTCATCTCCCATTTTCTCTCTCTCTCGCTATTTAAATCTCTATCAATCTTTCTGACACTCAGTTTCACTCCCACTCCTGTCTTTCAGTTTCTCTTTCTCTCTCAGTTTCACTCTCAATTTCTTTCTCTGTCCCTACTCCTATCTTTCACACTGACTCAGTTTTCACTCTAAATCTTAATTTTTCTCTGTGCCTCACTCACTCGCTTTCCTCTTGTCGCGCTGGTGATGACGCAGTCACTGCGCAGTGAAGGTCCCGGATGGAGAAGGCGAAGCGGCGTCCGTTACACCCCCTGACCCCTGACCCCGGGATAACCCCCAACCCCCGGCCGCGCGGAGCTGTTTCTCTGTAGAGCTGTCACAGCCTGACTGCCTGTCCCTCTCTGTCACAGCCTGACTCTGTGTCTCTGCCTGTCCCTCTTTGACTGACTCTGTGTCTCTGCCTGTCCCTCTTTGACTGACTGACTGTCTGTGATTGTCCCTCTGCCTGTCCCTCTTTGACTGACTGCCTGTCTCTGATTGTCCCTGTCTGTCTGACTGTCCGTCCGTCTATCCCTCTTTGGCTGACTCTGTCTCTGATTGTCCCTCTTTGACTGTGTATTTCTGACTGTCCCTGTCTGCCACTGCTTGCCCCTGTCTGACTCTCTGTCTCTGTCCCTGTCTGATGACTCTCTGTCTCAGCCTCTGTGACAGGCAGCCTCTGCCTGTCCCTTTCTGACTCTGTGTGTCTCTGACTGTCCCTCTCTGACTCTATCTACTCTCCCTGCCCTGCTTGACACTTTCTGTCCATCTCTGCCAGTGTCTGCCCAACTGAATCCATCCATCTCTGCTATCCCTGCCTGACTGACTCATTCTGACTGTTTGTCCCTCCCTGACTGCCTGACTAGGTGATGGATGTGGGTGACATGGAATCCAGCGAGGAGCTGTGGGAGCGGATTTGTGCTGGACTGGCAGCTCAGACAAGGGATGGGAATGAAACCGAAGCCCTGATTGGAAGCTCCCAGCCAGCATTTTTCTCAGAAATATTCAACCCGATACCTGGGAAGGTGCTGGACGTGGACTCAGTCACCAACAGTGAAGATCAGACAGGTGTCACTCCTTGGACTCCCCTGGCAGATTCACAGCAATATTTAGCAGTATTGGGTAAGTGTGCAGTTTAAAACAGTCTACTCCAAGGACCCGCATTCCGTCAGTGTGCTGAACGATTTTTAGGGAAGGTCACAGCATAGTGACTGATCAAACGTGCCTTGGTCTATACCAATCAGGCAAATATTTGATTTACAATACTGTCACCAACACCAAGGCTGGGGCACACTCCCACATCTTCACCAACTGACTTTGTACAATCCTAGACCGTACATCTAGCTGATACAGTCGGTGCACTCTCCCACACTGTGTGTCTATCTGGTGTAATCTGGTGTAGCCAGTACAATCTTAGATGGTCTATGTAGCCTGTGTGGTCTGTGTACTATACATCTTTTTATTTTTCTTTGACACAAATTTGGCTTGAAAGTAGGAGATAGAGGGTGGTGGAGGGTTGTTTCTTGGACTGGATGTCTGTGACCAGCGATTTGCCACAAGGATTGGTGTTGGCTGCACTACTTTTTGTTATTTACATAAATGATTTGGATGTTAATGTAGGAGGAATGGTTAGTAAGTTTGCAGATGACACCAAAGTTGGTGGTGTAGTGGACAGTGAAGAAGGTTATCTCAGAATACAAAGAGACCTTGATCAGATGGGCCAATGGGCTGAGGAGTGGCAGATGGAGTTTAATTTAGATAAACTTGAGATGCTGCATTTTGCTAGGGCAAATCAAGGCAGGACTTATACAGTTAATGGTACGGTTCTGGACAATGTTGCCAAGCAAAGAGACATTTTGGTGCAGGTTCATAGTTCCTTGAAGGTGGATTCACAGACAGGATAGTGAGGAATGGGGTTGGCGTGCTTGCCTTTATGGGTCAGTACATTGTGTATAAAAGTTGGGAGGTCATGTTGCAGCTGTACAGGACATTGGTGAGGCCACTTTTGGAATACTGCATTCAATTCTGGCTTCCCTGCTATAGGAATGATGTTTTTAAACTTGAAAAGGTGCAAAAGAAATTTACAAGGATTTTGCTGAGGTTGGAGGGTTTGAGCTATAGGGAGAGGCTGAATAGGCTGGGGCTAATTTCGCTGGAGTGTCAGAGGCTTAGGGGTGACCTTATAGAGGTTTATAAAAGCATGAGAGGCATGGATAGGGTGAATAGCCAAGGTCTTTTCCCCAGGGTAAGGGAGTCCAAAACTAAAGGGCATAAGTTTAAGGTGAGAGGGAAGAGGTATGAAAGGGACCTAAGGGGCAATGTTTTCATGCAGAGGGTGGTGTGTGTATGGAATGAGCTGCCAGAGAAAGTCTGTTACAATTACAACATTTAAAAGGCATCTGAATGGGTACATGAATAGCCAGGGTTTAGAAGGATATGGGCCAAATGCTGGCCAATGGGACTGGATTAATTTAGGATATCTGGTTAGCAAAGACAAGTTTGACCGAAGGGCCTGTTTCCGTGCTGTATATCTCTATGACTGTATGACTTTATTTTGGATTGTGGACCAAAATGGGAAAATGAGACTGCTGCACTTTTAAAAAGACGTTCACTGAAACTCATTGTGTGTCATGTTTACACTGTTCCTGTCTTCAAGTAGTAGAAGGAGATGTCTGAGATGGTGCTGTGGGGTGTGTTGGCAGAGCAAACTTCACCCAGAGACAGAATGCTGATTGGTATGTGCAATCTGAACCAGTCATGGAGACCAGGAGCCATCAGCCTGGCAACAGCATCTCTGATTGCTTCCTGGGCAGGTCGACAGCGAGTGCATGAATACAGGGGCTGAGGGTCTCCAGTTTACAACAGACAGCATCCCCATTTTTCACTCTCTGCAGTAATGTAACCAAGAACTCAAAGATAGACATTCTCTCCCATTATTGACTATAAGCTGTTGCTTCTAACCAGTTACTAAAAGACCAAACAACTAATGAGTCAACAACCATGTGTCCTATGACTGTAAAATGTACAAGCAATAGTAGGCTATTCAGCACATCAAGTTTGCTCCACCATTCAATGAGATCATGGCTGATCTGATAATCCTCAAATCCATATTCCTGCCTTTTCCCCATAACCCTTGAATCTCCTTACTGATTAAAAATATGTATATCTCAGCCTTCAACATACTTAACAACCCAGCCTTGGTGGACCTCTGTGGTAAAGAATTCCAGAGATTCACAACCTCTTGAGAGAAGAAATTATTCCTGTGTCTATGTTTTAAATGGGTGATCCCTTAATCTGAGATTATGCCCTCTGGTCCCAGACTCCCCCACAAGGAGAAACAACCTTTTCAAACCTACCCTGTCAAATCCCCTCAGAATTTTTTAAAATTCACTCATGGGATGTGGGCATCACTGGATGGCCAGCATTTTTTTATTGCCTGGCCCGAATTGCCCTTGAGAAGGTGGTGGTGTGCTGTCATCTTGAACTGCTGCAGTCCATGTGCTGTTGGTTGAAACATAATGCCCTTAGGGAGGGAATTCCAGGATTTTGAACCAGCAGCACTGAAGGAACAGCAATATATTTCCAAGTCAGGATAGTGAGTGGCTTGGAGGAGAACTTGCAGGGGGTGGCGTTCTCATGTATCTGCTGCCCTTGTCCTCTAGATCAAAGTATTCATAGCTTTGGAAGGTGCTGACTAAGGATCTTTGGTGAATTTCTACAGCGCATCTTACAGATGGTATACACTGCTGCTACCTGAGGGAGGGAGTAGATACTTGTGAATGTGGTGCTAATCAAGCGGGCTGCTTTGTCCTGGATGGTGTCAAGCTTCTTGAGTGTTGTTGGAGCTGCACTCATCCAGGCAAGTGGGGAGTATTCCATCACACTCCTGCCATGTATCTTTTAGATGAGGTGAAGTTACTCACCATAGTATTCGTAGCCTCTGACCAACAGTTGTGTTTATGTGGTGAGTCCAGTTGAGTTTCTAGTCAATGGTAAGCCCCAGAATGTTGATGGCAGAGGACTCAGTTATGGCAACACGGTGGATTGTCAAGGGGCAGAGGTTAGATTGTCTCATATTGGAGATGGTCATTGCCTGGCATTTGTGTGGCACGAATATTCCTTACCAGTTGTCAGTCCAAGCCTGGATATTGACCAGATCTTGTTACATTTGAACACGGACTGCTTCAGTATCTGAGGAGTCACGAATGGTGCTGAACATTGTGCAATCATCGGCGAACATCCCCACCTCTGACCTTATGATGGAGGGAAGTACATTGATGAAGCAGCTGAAGATGGTTGGGCCTAGGTCACTACCCTGAGGAACTCCTGCAGAGATGTCCTGAAGCTGAAATGACTGACCTTCAGCAACCACAACCATCTTTCTATGTGCCAAGTTTGCAAAGAGTTTGCCCCCTGATACCCATTTGATTAAATCTTTGATAGTAGGAGCTGCAGATGCTGGAGAATCCGAGACAACAAGGTGCAGGGCTGGATGAACACAGCAGGCCAAGCAGCAGATGAAGGGTCTAGGCCCGAAACGTCAGCCTTTCTGCTCCTATGATGCTGCTTGGCCTGCTGTGTTCATCCAGCCCTGCACCCTGATTAAATTTTTAATTTTTGTGGTGACCGTGGGAATAGTAGGGCTCAAGTATCAGCGCACTTTCCCAACTGGGTCATGATAACACTTTCCTGGATTGTGTGCCTAGCCAACGCGGTCTGTCTACTGTCCTGGACTGTGTGTGTTTTTTTTGGTACAGAAAATCGCCTGCGAAAATTAAAGGGTCTGAATGAAGAACCGAGCTCAAAAGAGATGCTACTCAGCCTGTCGCAGACAAAGAAGGAATGTTGGGATCGTTTCCTGCATGACCAGTATGGCTCTGACGTGTACAGCAATGGATACGAGGTGGACCAGAGGTAATGTGTGATCTGCAGTTCTGTCAGGTTTACGTAAGGTCTCTCGAAGTAGAGAGACACGTCACAGTTCCCCACACTGTCACTGATGAGGGTCCCTGTTAGGACCTACCGTCCTCACATCTGAGTGTTGAAATAGGTGATCAGGTGGGAGGAGTAGAATCAGGGTGTCTATGCTCCTTTTTTTGCAGCAGCGGTAACTCCCATAAAATAAAGCTTAATAAAAAAACAGTTTGGGAAGCTCCAGATAGAAGCGTTTACGTGCAAAGCTTGGCAGGTGAGACAGGGGTACATGTGGAGCGCTGAGGGATCCAGTGGGAGAGGAGGTATGTGACTGAGGACTTCAGCTGCCTGGTTAGTGAGTGAGGGGCGGGAGGCAGCAAGAGGCTCGGTGAGGGAGTTGGGTGGTAGATCAGTGAGGGAATAGGTGACAGCATGGAGGCAGCTAGGTGGCAGGAAGATGATTAGGAGAATGGATAGCCGATGAGTGAGGGGGTCAGGTAGCAGATAAGTGACAAGGTGGGGTGGCACGTAAGTGTGTGAGGGGTGTGAACATAGAAACTAACCACAGAATAGGCCATTCAGCCCCTTGAGTCTGCTTCGCCATTCAATAAGATCATGGCTGATCTCTTTGCATTTCAAATTCCACATTCCCAGTGACCATTTTGCCTGACAAAAATCTGTCCACTTCACCCTGAAAAATATTCAGTGATCTCACCTCCTCTGCCTCCTGAAGTAGAGAGATGTTTACCCTCTGAGTGAGAATATTTGCCTAAAAGACCAACACCTAACTCTGGGCTGACACCAAGGGGAAACATCCTTTCCTCATCCACCTTGTCAAGACCATCCAGGATTTCATACACTTCAAATAAGTCACCCCTCACTCTTTTAAACTCCAGTGTTAACAAGCCCAGTCTGACCAACTTGTCTGCCTAAGACAATCCATTCATTCCAGATATCAATCTAGTAAGCCTCCTCTGAACTGCCTCGATGCTTTTGTAGCCTTACTTAAATGAGGAGACCAAAACTGCACACAGTATTCGAAATGTTCTGTCACCAATGTTTGGTTTAACTGAATATATCTGATTATAACTGATAAAATCCTTACTTTTCTGTTCAGTTCCTCTTGTAATAAAAGATAGTACCCCATTACCTTTATTACTTGCTGTGCCTGCATAGTAGCAGTGTCTACATCGTTTATAAGCACAAGATCACTTTTTGAATTTAAGTGGAACCCAAGAACGACAATGAAGATTGAGGTGTTCAGTGTGAGCACTGGAGGGGTGGTGTGGTCAATTTCCTAATTAGGCAGCTTTTAATTCTTCTAACTTTTCCTGAGTAGGTGCTGAGGTAAGTTAGAGCCCGCTGAGCTCTCTGCCTCCAATTCTCAGTATGGGGCAATTTTAGAGGGTACTAGACGATGGGTCATCGCCTATCAGAAGTTTAAACTTCATGGGCAATTAGTATGTTGTGGTCAGTATATCAGGTCATTCAAGAGCACTATGATCCATCTCTCAGGATATGCTCGGTCTACAGCTGTCTGGAGACGTGAACAACCAGTCCTTTATTTCACAGATTCAAGAAAGCCAGCATCAGGCACACCTGCTGGGTAATTCCCAGTGCCAGTGTCTCAGGCACATACTTCAATACTCTGCACACAGACAGGAACATTGTATGTCTGTTTGCTTCATGCTTTTAACACAACACAACCTCCCAAGGTATTTTACAGGAGAATTTGACCCCCAAACCTCTTAAATAACAATAGGGCAGATGAACGAAAGCTTGGACAAAGCGTTTGTATCTGAAAGGTATCTTGAAGGAAAATTGAGAGGAAGGAAGTCTCACCACTTAACACAGCTTGGGTTGAAGTCATGGCTCAATACAGTAAGTGCAGATATCTTTTAGGGCTGTGGGTCTGAACGAGGTTACAACGTTAAGCCAGGGGGTAAAGACATGGAAGGGTTTGAAAATAAAGATACCAATTTTCAAACTCACAATACTGTTCGACCTGGTGCCAGTCTGGATCAACAAGCATAATGGCGAAAGGTGAACAGGACTTGCTGCAAGTCAGGATCTGAACATCAAACCTTTGGATGACCTCCAGTTCACAGAGGGTAGACATGGGGAGATTGGGTAGTGCTGCCTTGAGATGCTCATGTCCAGAGGCAACAAAGGTGTAAATGAGGGGATGAGCAGGAGAAGGGATGGAATCGAGCAGTGTCAGGGAGGTGAAAGTAGATGGTCTCAGTGAGGGTGCTAATTGTAAGTTTACCTCTGGGGTTAACACAAAAGTTGTGGACGAACTGGTTTAGCCACATGCCAATATACAGAGGCTTGTGTATTTATATATTATAAACACATGCATAGATTTTAATATGTACAGATTTAGATATATACACAGCCTGATATAGAAACATAGAACATCATAAACACGTGTTGATTATTACACACACACACTCCGATATCCCTACACATGCATATGCACTCACGCCTTTTCTATCTGCATACGCTCTCATAAATACCTGCACGCATGCACATAGAAATGCACATACTCAGATATTCTCACTCAGGCACACACTTGCACACATGGTCATATATATATGTGTGCACGCTCTATGTATATACACACACGCGCATACCAAATCACTTGATCAGTGGTTTTAAGGCACTGTGGACGCTGGTCTTTGACATGTCACTGTGGGTGCTGCACCTCCAAAATTAGCTCTGGTCTAACTAGCTCTTTATCTGGGAGGTGGAAGATGTGGAATTGAGCTCACGCTTTTCCATGCTTTGGACTACTTGACATATATGTTCAATATCTAAAGGTTCTAAAGTCTGTAGCATTGTACGTAGGTTTAGGAAGTCCTCGCTGTATTTGTTCTGCTCTGTAACTATCTACTGTATTTATTCCAGTGCCATTGACCACTTCAAGCGATGGCTGCAGCCAGAAAGAGTTCCGGTCAGTGCAGAGGAAGTTCAGTACCTGATCAACCCTGAAGGACAATCTGCTAACCAAGAGGAGCCGAAGAGTGACAGCAGTGATCAGTGATGATCCACACCATACGTGCCCTTGACTGTGCATTAGTGAAACATCCAGTGGCCAGATGGAGGCCAGAGCTGTCATCAAAGCACTGCGCTATCTAGCCCTTTAAAATTCAGTGCTGGCTGAAAGGGGAAACACTGAACCTCGATGATGCCAACAGCTGAATTCAGTCCCTTGATATTGGCTTGTGAATATTTTAGACATGGAGGCATAGTGCAAAAGTTCTCGGGACCTCTCCCACTCCACTGTAACTGATGGCAATCACTTTGACTTGTATGAAGTGACATTCCAACAAAGCTCTGTCTGTAGAGCAGGAAAGGAAGAGACAGTGTTCCTGAGAAGGAGTTGGGATGCTCGCCAATCACTAACTTGATCTGTGTACCCTCCAGTGTATTAATGGATCTTTACAGTGGAAAGTCATGGACTGCTGTTTGTCAAGGGGTTTACACTCAACAACGTCCCATTGTGCAGCTCGCCAGTGACAACATTTATTCATTGGCGCATATTCTCTCTGCTCCGCATCAAACAATGCCCAAACTGTGACAAGTTCGAAACGGAGACCAACAGTCACATTTTCAGCGCATCAAAGATCTCACCTGTCTTTGCAGCTAGGCTTCTGATTAATCCCAGTCTCCCCAAGACAGAGCCATACATTTATTGTTTGACCTGCTTTTACTGTAGCAGCCTATCTGTATAAACAAGGGTACAAACAATTAAATAGGACAATCCTAAGCTGTTACAACTTTGAGAGGAGGAATGTGCTGATAATCAAGCCCCACTACTGCCTCATTAGCATAAATAAGTTGGTTCATTCACTAAAATAGCCACTTCCTTCTCACTTGTACTGCTATCTACAATAAAAGAGCTTTTCACCAGGCTTCTTTAATTAGCTCAAAATAATCTGTTTATTGTAAACAAACTTCTTCTTGAAACAAATGGTAAACACTGGTTAACATCAAATCTGTAATCTGGAAATGGAACCCGCTTCATCCTAAATGCAGACACACATCTACAAAAAGGACACAGTCTCTGCAGAAATGGTTTTTTAAAAGGCAAAAATACCCCTTTGCGCCAAAGGGCTACAAAAAAAGGGATAAAATATAATGACTCTTTGTGGTTCATTGAGTTTTCTGTCAACAAAATCGAATTGCTGATAGCCATAGACTGATGGAAGATGTTCAGCTCTGACTGCAGTCTACCCGAATCTGTGTCTTTGAAAAGTGGTCACATTTCAGCTTTTTATGTTTTGCACAGTAGTCAGAAATACTGGTATTTGAAAATTATTCCCAGCAACGCCTGTTAGCAAAAGGGGAGGTTCTGGGGTGTCTTCCTGACCGACTACTTGAGTCTAGAGAGGGTTGCTAGGTAACTATTAGCATAGAGGTTCCCTTGGTCTTTTCAAAGCCAGGTTTCTGCAGTGATTGAGGACCCAAACCCAGCTTTTCTCTCCATGAAATCATTCTTCAAAGTCAAGTAATTTTTTAGTAAACAGATGGCTTGCAGCACTTTGACTTCATTCCTTGATAACACGGATGGAAAATCCTTTTCAATCCATAAAATGTCCAATGGTTCCATATCTTTCACTTCTTCAACATGATCCTTCATAATAAGTATGCATTCCCAATAGGGCCAATATCCTCTGTTCACATTGTGGCCATCACTGCCTGAGCCAGCATTTATTGCTGTTTCCTAGTTACCCTTGAGAAGGTGGTGGTGAGCTGCCTTCTTGAACCATGTGTTGTTGGTTGAACCACGGTGCCATTAGGGAGGGAATTTCAGGATATTGACTCAGTGACACTGAAAGAACAGTGATGTATTTCCAAGTAAGGGTTGTGAGTGGCTTGGGGGGAACCTGTAGGCGGTGGTTTTCACACATCTCTGCTGCCCTTGTTCTTTGAAATGATAGCAGTCCTGGGTTTGGAAGGTGCTGCCTGAGGATCTTTGGTGAATTTCTGCAATGCATCTTGTAGGTAGTAAACAAACACTGCTGCTACTGAGCGTCAGTGGTGGAGGGAGTGGTTGTTGGTGAATGTGGTGACAATCAAGTGGGCTGGCTACCTGGATGGTGTCAAGTTTCTTGAGTGTTGATGGAGCTGCACTCATCCAGGTAAGTGAGGTGTATTCTATCACACTCCTGACTTGTGCCTTGTAGATGATGGACAGACTTTGGGAGTTAGGAGGTGAGTTACTTGCTGCAAGATTTCTAGCCTGACTTGCACTTGTAGCCGCAGTACTTGTATAGATAGTCCAGTAGTCAACCACCAGATATTAACATTGTTGATGTATCCTACAAGCTGATAGAGCAATTCCATCTGCTTTGAGGTGTTTGGATAAATGTGCTTTCATGTAGGTTTGTACCTGGATATCATGAACCTTGCAGAATGACTGTTCTACATCTAACAAAACAGGCAACTGTGCTGTGAAAATCCTAATCTAATTAGAGCAGCTTTTTCTTATTCAAACATGGGATGTGCATGTCACCAGCTGGGCTATCATTGGCTGCCTGTTCATAGTTGTCCCATTGAGAAGATGGTGGTGAGCTGCCTTCTTGAACTGCTGCGGTCCATGTGCTGTAGGTTGACCCACAATGCCATGGGGAGGGGGTGTTGAATTCCAGGATTTTCACCCAGCAACACTAAAGGAGCAAATATATTTCCAAGTCAGAATGGTGAGTGGCTTGCAAGGAAACTTAAAAGTGGATGGTGTTGTCATGAAACTGTTGCACTTGTCCTTCTGGATGGAAGTAGTTGTGGTTTTGGAAGGTGCTGTTTAGGGAGCGTTGGTGAATTTCTGCAGTATGTCTTATAGATAGTTCACTCCACTGTTAAAGAGTATTGGTGGTGGGGGGAGTGGTTGTTTGTGGATGTGGTACCAATCAAGCAGGCTACTTTAACGTGGATGGTGTCAAGCTTCTTGAATGTTGCTGGAGCTGCATTCATCCAGGCAAGTGGGGACTATTCCATCACAATCCTGACTTGTGCCTTGTCGATGATGGATAGCCTTAGAGGTATCAGGAGGTGAGGGTTACTCAGCGTAGTATTCCTAACCTCTGACCTGCCCTTGGGGAAATGGTATTTATATGGTGAGTCCATTTCAATTTCTGGTCAATACCAACCCACAGGATGTTTTTAATGGAGGAATTCAGTGATGTTAACACTATTAAATGTCAAATGGTGGTGGTTAGATTCCTCTCTTATTGGAGAGGATCATTGCCTGGCATTTGTGTGGCACGAATGTTATTTGCCACTGGAGGAGGCTGAGATAGATTATCCACTTGGCAGTTCTGTCTGAAGATTTACACAAACACTTCAGCCTTATTTTTTGCACTGATGTATTGAGTTCTTCTGTTGTTGAGGATGGGGCTATTTATGGAGCCTTCTCCTCCTGTGAGTTGTTTACTTGTCCACCACCATTCATGACTGGATGTGGCAGGACTGCAGGTCTATCACTTACTGCTTATGCTGTTTCGCATGTAAGTAATCCTGTTTGGTAGTTTCACCAAATTGACCCCTCATGTTCAGGTATGCCTGGTGCTGCTCCTGGCATGTCCTCCCACACTTTCCATTCATCCCTTGGTTGATGGTAATGGTTGAGTGGGGGATATGCCAGGCTATGATGTTGCAGATTGTGCTGTTGATGGCCCATTGTGCCACTGATGCCCAGTCTTGAGTTGCTAGATCTGTTTGAAGTCTGTACCATTTAGCACAGTGCCACACAACATGATGTAAAGTATTATCAGTGTGAAGGTGGGACTTCATCTCCACAAGAACTGTGTGGTAGTCACTCTTACCAATACTATCATGGACAAATACGTCACCAGCAGGCAGATCTTTGAGGATGAAGTCAAGTATGTTTTTCCTTTTGTTGGCCTACTTCAGCAGCTATGTTCTTGGGACCTGACTGGCTCAATCAGTCTGGTTGGGAACAATGCTTGATGGTGGACATTGAAATCCCTTACCCAGAGTATATTTTGTGCCCCTGTCACCCTCAGTGCTTCCTCCGTGTTGTTCAACATGGAGGAGTGTTAATTCATTAGCCAAGGGAGGACGGTACAACAGCAAGAGGTTTCCTTGCCCATGTTTAACTTGATGACATGAGATTTCATGGGGTCTGGAGTCAATGCTGAGGACTCCCAGAGCAACCCCCACCCGACTGTGTACTACTGGGTCTGTCCTGCCGGTGGGACAGGACATATCCAGGGATAGTGATGGTGGTGGATGTTGTCTGTGAGGTACGATTCCATGAGTATGACTGTGTCAGGCTGTTGCTTGACTAGTCTGTGAGACAGCTCCCCCAATTTTGACACCCCCAAACGTCAGTAAGGATAACTTTTCAGGGTTGATAGGGCTGTTTTTAGCACTGTCGTTTCTGGTGCCTAGGTCAATACTGGGTGGTCCATCCAGTTTCATTTCTTTGTTGCGAATTTGTGGCAATTGACGCAACCAAGTGGCTTGCTCGACCATTTCAGTGGGCAGTTGAGAGTTTACTGCATTGCTCTCACTAGCCTCATCCTCTCACCCCTAGAGGGCGACCAAAGCCTGGCTCGGTGGCTGACAGAGAGTGAGGCTGTGTGTACTAGTGGAGACATGAGGCAAGACTGAGCCCTGTATATGCAGTATCAAAGGGAACATATTTTTAGTTCACGGCATGTGGGTGTCCCACATTGACTAGAAGGCAGTTAAGAATCAACCACATTGCTGTGGGTCTGGAGTCACACTTAAGCCACCACCTTCCTTCCTGAAGGGTATTAGTTAACCAGATGGGTTCTCCCCCAACTCTCAGCATTGTCACCATTTAAGCTCTTAATTCCAGATATTTATTGAATTCAAATTTCACCATCTACTTGTGGTGGGATATGAACTCTGGATCCATATTCTAGCAGTAATACCTCTTGGCCATGACCTTCCCTGTATGTTTCAGACAAGCAGATAGTCAAAAATTAAAACAAAAAGCTGGAACTACTCAGCAGATTTAGCAGCATCTACAGCAAGAGAAACGGAGTTAAGGAGGGGCAGTTAAAATTGGGAAGGGAGAGAATACATTTCTTCTTTAACTCCAAGCAGAGAGCTGGTGAAATGAGTGCTCGGTTCTGTAACTATCAGATTGAATGGCAGGAGTGTGTCTCCTGAACAATGGACAAACACTGAACTGTCACCCAGAATCTGAACCTTCAGGGCAGCAGGAGCAGATTGGCAGAGCCAGTAGAACTGAGACAGTGGTGAATGAGAATCGAGTGGGTTAGTGTGGACTTACAATACATCATTCAACCTGCTGGTGTCCTCGTAATCCACAAAACTGAGGAGGAAGGTACTTAATTAAGGTCATAAAAAGTGCCAGCTAGCTCCAGGATTCATGTCTGGTTGAATGGAATTCAAAACCAGACATGTTGCATCCAACCTCTATAGAATGTTGGTTGAGCCACAATTGAAGCACTGTGCACCATTTAGATCTCCACAGAAGTAATCAAAAAATGTAAAAGCACTGAAGAAAATGTGAAAACAGATTTACAAGGATTCCAGAACTGAGGGGATACACATATCAAGCAGGTTTGAATCGGCTGGGGCTCTTCCCTCTGGAACAGAGAAGGCTGAAAGGTGACCTGAAAGAATTCTTTAAGGTGATGAAAGGGTTTGATGGGATGGATCCAGTAGGCCAAATAATTTTACTTGCAAGAGAGTCCTAAATGACAGGGTCATGGATATACAAGATAATTACTAATAAATTCAACAGGGAATTCAGGAGGAACTAGAATGTGGAATTTGCTGCTGCAAGGCTTTTGATGTGAATGCCATAGATGCATTTAAGAGGAAGCTGCATGAGGAAAAGGAGTGGAAGGGTTTGAGTGAGTGGTAGAGTGAAGGGAAGATGGCTCTACAA